CACAACATCTGTAGCTCAATAAACAAGTGCTTGGTAGTCATAGGCAAGAATTAAAAGTTTTTGTTAACAGGATATCAATCAGGATATTACCAGTTCCTCAAACATGTATATCTTTAGATTCAAAAGGAAATAAGAAAAAAACTAAATAAATAGTAAGGAGCAAAAAGGATGTCAGTTTCTATGTGGAACAATCTCCATTTGTCTGTTTGTTTCTGATAAATAATTGTCACTAAATGAGGCTAAAAAAAATACAAAGTGTCAAATTTTACACAAAAGCATTAGGCTAATGCTATTAGAAACTCCCAGCAGCCCCCAGTCCAACATCTGCTGCTCTTTGTATAGTGATTGATTGATGAATTGTTTATTTACTTAACCCCTCACTGAGTCTTTCCTGTTGGCTGCACATATGGGCTTACCGGGCCATTGTCTAAACTAGATAGAAAAGACATAAAACTGCTCAGGAACTAAACAAAGTCAAATAAACAGCCATAGCCACCCAAGGGTATGTGGCACAAGAGAATTCAAAAGTAACATTATGAGCATCTTGCATGTCATGTCCTTCCAGCTTACTAAACAGTTTGAAAACCAACCTTAAGGGACTAAAACTCAATATGATATTAATTTAGTAAAATATGTGCATGCATTCAGAAGAGAATTCTTTATGAATGCAAGGCCAGCATAATAGTTCAGACTTTTAAGGAAATTAAATGTGTTCTAAAATAGAGACACTTATTGGCAGATAATTGTCACTTTGGTTGCCTGAAAGCATCAATCTTCTGAGGCTTTTCAGTCAGAGACCTTGAGTTAATAAAAAGAGCCATCGCTTCTTGGAGGAAAAAAAGGGATGATTAAGTTGAAGAAGAACTAGAAGGTCAAAGGTTAAGACTGGCCTATGGGAAGTGACCTTTCGTGACACCACGTTTCCTGGTTCGTCTTTGGAGTCTTTAACTCTACAGTAGGCAGTGCCATGTAGGAACAAAGCCGGTATTGTGTTGGCATACGGCCCTCGTTGGTATGGCGCCAAGTCCATGTTGGCAGGAGGTACTATGTGATGGGAATCTAAAGACTGCACACTCTATAGAAGTTCTATACTTACTGCTGTGAAGCGCATGCAAAAGGAGTACAAAGTATGCACAACGCCGTACTAAACCTGATTTTTATTCTGAAGGGGAGTTGCTTCAGGCCAGCATCTGAGGAAAGGGGGGAGCACGGTGTAGACCCCAGCTCTGGTCTGTGGGATGTGGTCATGGATGAGTGCAGGCCAGGCCGGACCTCCTGGGGACCTTCACGGCTGCAACTGCTTTTCGATCTGCTGAAGTGAAACAGGATTACAACACACGACAGAAAGGGACGAATGGAAATTTTGGTCTGGACTACAGTTTTAGCATCTGAGTTAATTTAATATCGGTTTGAAAATGTATCTTGGTTTTCTTATTCATTTCCTAAAGAATGCAATTACCAGTAGTCAGTAAATTGCCAGTAAACATTGAGCAAATAGAAATGTTTGAGCAAAATCAGACCTAAGACTATGACAAACTTTATTGATCTGTGAAGCAAATTGGAGACAGCAGCTCAAAAATACAATAGAAAACAATCTTTGAGAAACGAGCAAAAAGCAAATACTACAAAGACTTTCAAAGATTTCAGCCATTTAATTAATTTAAAATGATCTAGATGCCTGTCTTTGTCACTGTCATTTTGAAATTGACAATTCCACAACATCCTTTCAACTTCCAACATACAAAGAAGTGAATTTCAAAAGGAAAACTGCATTACATTCTATGGTATGTGTGTAGACACCAGAGACGTATGGCATCCCTCAGCCCTCCTTCTCTGTGTATGTGTATGTGTGTGGGGGTGTGTGTGCGCGTGTGTGTGTGGTCTTCAGTCAAGGGGTCAATGCTGGGTAGGCTTTATGATCTGTCTAAGAACATATACACTAAGTACACAGAAATGCATAGAAATGTGCATAACTTTTTAATGACTAAACCGTATACAGTATATAGTAACTTAAAGAAATAGCAAATTATAGCTTGTATGACCTCAATATATTCATTAGACTAGCTCACTGACACTTCCATCCCCCTTTTCACATTCTATAGCCTCCACTGGTTGGCTTCTATCTGTCCTTTAGGCATTTCATTTCACATACGGTCAGCAATACATCTATCAAAGCTTGGGAAAGGATGTTTGGAAGCCATCCAGTTTCCCCACTTCACTAACCACTAATACTTGAACTTTTTGCATGTTCTGTTCCTTAGACTAGGCTACTCTGAATGCTATGGACACTAGCTGCTATGATGCAAAAATGTCAAACAAAAATGATATGCACTAGTTTGGGGAGTGGTCTGGTATTTTGGGGGGTTGCTCACACTGTTTAATGCGTGTGGGAGGGGAGAGGAAACAGCGCCAGGCAAAAAGGGCGGCATATGAACAATTTTGTATTCTGCTGCAGCGTTTCTGCCCCATCCCCCCCGAACTTTTTTTTTTTTTTTTTTTAACTTCCCCTGTCTCTCCCTTCCCTAACCCCACCTCCGCTCACCCACAACCCCAGCCCCCCTCTCCACCGGCAGGTTGTTTAATACTTTCCAGATTTCTGCTGCATGCCGTCGGTCTCCTCCTGGAAGACTCGCAAATCTGCTGATGGAATTTGGCGGAAAAAGGTCTGGGAGTAGATGCCTGCGACCCACAAGTGTCCGAGGGGCAGGGAAATAGCGCCCCCTGCTGCTGAAGAAGAGTGTCGAAGGCGCTTATAGGGAAATGGGGTTTTTGACAGGCTCTGAATCTCACTGCTTTACGAAGGAGAAACAGCTGCAAGACAGAGTAGTATTACAAAGCTAGGTGAGTGGTGGTCCCCCGAACAAATCAGCCATTTCCGGTGTCAAATAACTTCCAGAATGAGGCCCATATCTTGACTTTTTACTACAGATGCCTAGTAGTTCACACACACTAAATATCCAAGATAACCTTCTTAGTCACTGAGGATGGCATCTCCTCATAATGTTCACTGTGCACAACTGCAATTTCTCGTGATAAATAAAGGTTATAAATATTGGAGTTTGGTTACACTTTCAGGCTACATAAAACTTATTTAGGCCTATATCATTGCCTAATAAATAATGTTTTAAAATGCAGCCTATATTAAAATGTGTACATATATTAACAGGCCTATATATGTACCCGACTTTTCTTCTCTAACTTCTCTAACTAACTAATGTTTGTTCGTTGTAGCCACAATGACATGCCCATAGACTATAGTATATACAGAACTACTATGGACTATGGACATGACACACCCATTTTGAGTTGAGATGAACACCCACCCTGACGCCACTAGATGGCACTATGCAATTAAATTTTAAATCCGAACCCAATAGACTACTACAACAATACACAAATGGGATAAAGTAGTTATAAATCTGCTGAACGGGGTGATTAAAACCCAAACCATTTGGAACCAATCCAAAAGTAGCAACTGCAGCAGTGATTTAGTCATGGAAGAAAGAAAAAAAACCTAACAATCTTGAAAAGAGTAATGACTTGATACCAGCAGAGGAAAGTAGGATCAATAGCTCTACTGGTTTGTATTGACGACAGCAATCAATATAAATTCGCTGCATTTTACCGCCGGTGTAAGAATAATGGCCTTTTCTGCCCTCTTTCTAGCCCTATGGCGGATTGGATGCTGATATAATGTGACTGAAAGGCTGCTGTTTACGGGGGCCACTACGATTAGACACCTCCCTGAAGCATAACCACAAAAGTAGAAACGAGCTTTGGCAATGGCTGCAGGTGCGTCCGTGCGTATTACGATTAGACTATGGTGACTTGTTGAACATCTAGTGTCCTCTTTTTCTACAAGGGTAGCGGAGGGGAGAGGATGGGGTGTGTGGAATCTCAACAAAGCTACTACCAGAAGCTACAAATACGCGTAAAATGTTCTATATTACGCAAAATTGATTATTATGTGCTTTTACCTCAGTTAGATGTTGTTGCCTCATGAAAAACTTACCCAGAATTGTGTTTTGTTTCCTTCACACATGCTTGCACAACCTTTATTATTAGTCTGTCTACATCTCCAAAGCTCAAAATACCTTATGGTGTCATGTAGAGGTAGTTTTCAAGTTAACAGCTACCTTTTTACCTTTTGTTTAGTAGAGTTTGGCAGTTCTAGGGCTGAAATTATCCAATTGATTGTGTATACATTTTTAAAACACAGTGGAGCACCTGTATTACCACATCACAATGTAGAACAGAGTGTTTTCTGTTTGAGAGAAGAACTAAGCCTAAATATGTATGGTTTTTTTTGTTGTAGTTGTTTTTTTCATTCACAAAAACCCAACAAAAAAACCCAAACAACTCCAGGTATGTTCGTGATGAGGAAAGGTCAGACAGTAGCATGATATGAACTCTTGAAGAAACTAGTAATACATAATGATTTCAATGTGACTGGACTAAAGCACCTTTATCCTTAACAAGTTTTAAAGGGTGCTACTGAAAAGTAATAGGCCTACTTGTAAGTGGGTGGTGATTAAGGTCACTTGTCATTTGCCCTTTTAGTGAGTGTTCTCTTAAGAGAAAAATTTCTGAGCCATACTTGTACATTTCTAAGAAGAATGCCCAATTAATTAAGTTACTTTTATGCACATTGTATAACCCAATTCGTCAATCCCTCTTTTTCTAAGGCCAGGGACATCCACACTTTATAATTTATTCAACTCATAGGCCACAATTAATAATAAAAATGATGCTACGTGCCAGTCATTTATATGAAGTTAGCCTCAGGTAACGTAGCCATTTAATCAGTGGATAATTGTTACATTGTATGGCCACTAGAATGATCCAACTGTGCCTCAATTGCTGCAATTGCTTCCTTCCTTCCACTTTAAGGCGGCCTTGACAACAGTGACAGGAAATACTAGAAGCACTTAAGGATTTTGAGTGCTGATTATATTAAAACTACCCAATTTGCTTGAATGCACACATACAATTGGCAGCCATTTTAACTGTTCATTACTTCTTTTATTGACAAAATATATGTTATTTTGAATACAAAGAAAGACAATGTAAATATACAATATAAAAGGACGACATTAAGGCTTAATATCCAACATTGCAGACAAAACACACTGCCTAGCCTTCGCACTCACAGCCAAATCACAATGTAGTGTTTGAGTACACATCCAGTTATGCTAATTTATTCTTTCCTGTGTGAGAAACTCTTACTCCAATTTAACTGTGATTACCCTTGTGGAGAGACAGATTTGACAGGTCCTTCCAAAAAGTCAGAAGCCTCATGATGGAAATAAGTTTTGGCTAGAAAATTGTTATTTGGCACATGTGTCAGTTATAGTTAAGGCAACAAAATCAATTAAATCCAAGGGTGCCCCAGTACTTGTGGATATGAGTTTTAGTGATGCAAGAGATACAGTCAAAATGCAATGACTATGTAACAAGCGTACCTTCGAAATGGCATTTTTAAATTTAAGGCTTTGCTGGCTGTGGCTTCTCCAGTTTCAAATGTACAATAGTAATTTCCATATTAAGAAACTGGCTATGGACGTCTGTAGTGTTTGACCATAAACAATGTATAATGCCCTTTTAATAGAAGTAGTGATGCTCTGAACACAGTGGATGCTTGGGTGCACAGTACTGCTGCATACATATAGCCCAACTTTTCAAAACATGACAGGAAGTGGTTGTGCTGCACCTTTCATTTTCAACCTGATACAACAGATTTGAAATCATTTCTCGTCAATTTGAACATTCAGAAATATCTCTCACATTTTAGGGCTTTTTAAAGTTTTTGAGATTCACACTTTCCTTTGTAATAATGCCACTTTAGTGCAGCCCCAAAAAGACTTTCTTTTTACTATTCAGCTCTTTAATCACAAGTACATTACCAAGATGTTTTTGTGGACGGGGCACATTCTAAAACAGCAGAGCTTAGATTTTCAGGCGGAAATGGGAGCCTTTGAGCGCTGTGACCCTGAGTTACATGAGAGAGGAAACTCTTGACAGATCTATGGCACTTTGCTAAAATATTTTCAGACGACAGCGACTCAAGGCGGAGGGAGTAAGACGGTTTTTCACACACTGCTGAAAAACACAGTCCCCTTTTCATTGTGACAGACCACCCACAAGTGATCCCCGCTATGACAGGGGCCTTCTGTTCAGCACGGGCCTCATGATGTCCCCACAGCCAGAGACAGAGTCAGAGCACGGTGAGAAAAGCAACAGCACATCAAGTGAGAGAGAAGCGTGAACCCAAGCTTTAGTTATGAAGAAGTGTTTTCTCTACAATAGTCCCTTTCCAGCCCGTCCTACTTGTGCACTGCTGCCATGCTAATGTGTGGAATGTATGTGAAAAAGAGCAGTCTCTCCTGTGTCACTTTCTCAAAGGCACAGAAGCATTGACAGACGATCAAAAAGTGCACGTCCTAAAGGAGCAGTCGCTTTTTGGAGAGATTTCTTCTTAACAATCCCATTCCCACACCTACTGTTCCATTCACGCAGTCAAAGGACAACATCTTCCAAAGCCCATGGCAGTGAGTTTTTCCTTTCATACTCGAATCTCATCATCTTCATCCTCCATAAAGGAAGAAAAGTTGCTCTCCTCTTCTGGTGGTGCACTGAAGGTGGCGCTGTCTGTATCTCCTGTGTATGTTTGACTCATTTGTTTGTCATCCAGAGCAGCAGAGCCGGAGCTGGACATGGAGCAGCTGTCCAGATGTTGCAGGTGTTTGGGTCGTATCTCCGGAGTGTACTCGGGCGTGTAGGGCCCTCCGTTCTCTGGCCCCAGATCAAAAGCGTTGCTCGGATGTGTCAACTGCAAATCACTCCCTCCTTGTTCCTCTGCCATCATCTCCTCCACTTTACCCTCCTCTCTCCCCAGGCTCTCCTCTTCTTCGTGGTGGCTGAGTGGAGGTGAACCGCGGCCTTCACTGCTCTTGCCTTCCTCGAATCCTAAATCATCATCTTGATTATCCATGACACCCAAAATGTCACCCAGCATGGACGGACCCAAGTCAACATGGAAGGACATTACAGATTCAGCATGCTTCATCCCACCTCCAAAGTGATGAGAGGTCTCTGGAAGTTCTGTCAGCTCCCCAAAGCTGCGTTCTTGAATTTCCACTAAATAGTTGGCAGCAGCTGCAGCTCCTCCATCATCTGTTTGTGGTTTCATTGGACTACAGGCTAGACTTGTGGGTCCCGTGCTGTCCCCTCCATCTTGATTATTAAGGAAAGGCAAAGACATGGCATTCTTGACATATGTGGGTGAGCCATCAGGGCAGAGCAGAGCGTTATCCACCCTGGTCACAGACTGGGAGCGCTTGCTGCTCTTGAACGTGCGAGACAGTAGGCCGGGCCGAGGGGAGCGGGGGAAGGAAGTGGTTTCAGATGGAGGCTCCCCAGAGCGTGTGCTGAGGAACGAGGTGTCACCAAAGGCATCACCACTGCGGCCCACGTGCATGGTGTGACGGAAGTCACCCAAGGGTGCACTGATCATCTCCCTGGTCAGGTCCACACGGGTGCGCCGTTTGGTCTGGGACGAGTTGGACACAAGCTGCTTCAGGATTGGCATGATGAAGATGTTGTGTTTTGGTTTCAGACTTCAATATAATTTTCACTGTGAAGTTGGATCTTGGTGAATCAAAAACCTGAAAGAAGAAGAAGAAAAGGTTTAGAATCTAATTGTATAGTGCATGCTTTTCATTTCCACTAATAATAAACTAACAGTATTACATCTAACACGAGCTACTTTTGAGATTTAATTTTGGCTCTTTTGCATTTTTGTTTGTAATATAATACATATGCAATGTACATATATTATGTTGTTCCACTGGGAAAGGGTATCAGATTATCTAAAAACAATTTCAATATGTGATTTTGGGAAATTCTGTGAGATTTCTACATTTGCTATAGTTATAAAAGGATCTTAGTATAGATTACTACAAGAGAAACCCTTGATATATTAAAGAAGACAAATACAGTTTGTATTGTGGTTTAGGGAATTGGAGGGAAAAGTGCACGTAATCACACAACTTGCTCCTCCACAAATAACACTGACGCCTCTATGATTACAGAAATAAAAACATTTTGAGGGAATTCTAAATGTTACCACTAACTGCAACATTTTAAACCATCTATTATGAGCTCCCAAAATGATAAGCAACATTGCAAAGAGATGACCTCAGATATGTAATGGTGAGAAATATTGCAAGGGAAGACCACAAGATTTTATTTTGAACTACCACAGACCAACAAGAGTTATGGAGGAATGCTTGAGACCTTTTCCTCTATTGCATTATAAGAACTTGTTATCTCATTTTCCTTTTCCTTCCTAAAAAACAATACTCCACCTGTCACCTGGATTTACACGGTTGCTGTCAGACAGACTTGACGGATGCAATCACAACCGGAAGATAAAGCATTTCCTTCCTTTTGAAATCTCTGACTGACAGCTGCCATGTAAGGCCCATGCATTATTAAAAAGTACAGCGAAGGAAAACAGCACCACAGGCCATCAACAAATCAGCATCACTCCCCTTGGCTCTGCACACATGGGCGTCTCATTAGGAATCCATATTGTTGTATAAAATGAACATGAAAGGAGAGGCATATGGGTGGTCTGGTCAGAAAATGTTGAGACTTTAGCGGTGTGGGTGGAAAAAACTACATCTCCAAAATGCTTACCTTGCTGTCTGCATGTCTGGTTTGCTCATAACGGCTTCTGACTGTGTAGTGTCAAGTGCTTTCAGGGGTTGTTTCTTTTTAGTAATTTGACCTCCTTTCTAAGCCCCGCCCCTCATGTGCTCTCCAGCTGAAGCTCAACTCTTCTTCCTGTTAATGCCCTCACCTGCGGACGTTTCCATAGTAACACCCTCTTGCAACAACAGAGCTTCCTGTCAAAGGGCTGCACAAGGCTCGGGGCTTCGTACGAAACAAGAAAAACATGGGCTCCTGTTCTGACAGTCGGATGTGCTAGTTAAATGTTACTACACAAAAAGACGTGCAAGTCGGGAACACAGGAGAGTTTTCTAGCACGAACTGACATAAAAAGTTGTATAATTTCATGCTTGTTGTGTCAGGAACATGTTTTGCTAGATGTAGTGCAGGAGTAATATGCCAAACAAAAAGCTGTAATTTTTAGAAGAAGGACTACAGTTCATCTAAGACACATTTGAGAACAGCATCAAATGACCGTGCAGTTTAGGGGTAAATGCTCAAACTATTACATCACACAGGCCTGAAAGCGTGTCATTTTCAGTACTAGATAACAGATCTAAATACTTCCATTGATTTATGTGGCCCTATAAAATGAGTTTTGATACTAGCTCTGGTATCAAATAGTATGTGAATATGAATACTTTGAACAACTCAGGCTCACTCAAGCTAACTGTTGAGAATTGAAAATGAAAAACCCAAATTTGCATCTCTCTAGTTAAAACAATGAACATTTTAAGTAACATGTTACAAAAGGGTTGTCAGAATCTCAAGATCTCAATTTCAGAATGGTTTTAAGCTTTATCACAACTATGAGACCACATAGTAACAAACAAAGTACTATAATGTGAGTTTAAAAGTGTTTTTGTTATTATAATTGTAGTATGAATATCGGTATTGAGCCTGTTCTTAAGTTCTAATTCGAAGTCCTTAAGTACTAATTCTGAAAAACATCCAATTGTGAAGGTCTCCAGAAGAATTAACAAAAATACTAAAATATGAACTGACAATCGAATACAAGAATCACATTTCAAACATGCCTGCAAAGATCTAAATTACAGGGTTAGCAGTTTTTAATGACAGGATATTTTGTTGTTTGTGGTGGTGAATTACGGTACTTGAAAAATTGCAGCCTTTGTGAATTGCTAATTGCGTCCATTGAAATTGTGATTTTGAGTCGATTGCGATTCCTCTTGCAGCTCTATCTGAAAGTAACATACAGCCAGTTTTGCAAAGGTGACATTGATCATCTTTACAATTATCTGTCTGGGTATTTCACAAAACTAACTGATACATCCTCAGACTTCCATCTAAAATAGTTTAGTGGAAGTAGCTCCAGATTCTCAGTAACATTAATAGCTCCACGCATGTGGGGGCGTACACATGTGAATGAGGGCCTGGGAGAGCTGCAGTCAGCGTGGGAACAGTGGGGTCATGACAGTAGGATTGACTTTACAAACACACTTTTCACAGTACTCACTCACGCTCCCAATATAGACCGATGGAAACCAAAAAAAAGAGAAGAAAATAAGTAAATACGCCATCCACGCTTTTAAAAACAGTCTTCTTTGAACCCGATTTGAAATAGCAGTGTGTTCACATGTAGATAAACCTGAGCGCTAGGAATGTTTCCAAATCATTGCTTCCTCTGCTCTCCCCCTTCGCCAGCTATTTCACATCTGCTGGGGAAATTATATTACATCCTGCTCCCCCAAATGCATTTATACCCCTGGAGGAGGCAAAGTGGCTCCGTTTATAGATCACATAACACAATTATCAATAAAAAATACCAAGTCAAGAGCTCAAAACCCAAGGATTTAATTATGTATAAAAAAAATAAAAAACAAGTTCTTTCACCAATTTGATGAAAATATTTAGCAATCTTTAGCAATAAGATGAATAAAAGTGTTTTGAAAATGCTACAGATATTTTGTACTAAAGGTTTCAATCAGAAGAAGGCAACAGTTTGTGAAAACTCTGAAAAAATCCATCATAAATCTGCCCTATGCAACTAGAGGGTCTGACTGTTCCTTATATGGAGATGTTAGTGCTTTGCCTGCAATGTTCCAAAGTATGGCATTAAACTTATATCCACAGGGACAAGCAGGGATGCCACCAGGCCAATTTACAGGTGAGAACTGTGAAGAGGCGACCCCACTCACAGTCAGAATGCTTGTTTTTAGAAAGTAATTTCAAGCAATAAAACCAATAATTGAATAAATGCATCTTAAATATATTGTGGAACATTACAAGCAAAGCAATACATCTCCGTTGTAGCGAACCCCCCAGCCTGAAAAGTTACACAATGCACATTTAACACTGGGGAAGTTATTTTCCTCTTGTATCACAATAGGTGTTTTCTCTCCAATACCTACAGCCCAGGGGAAAAAGAGCCTGTATTGACTGAGGGGCCATCTGCAGTTAAGATGAACATATTTCTTCCAAATGATCAATACTTTGACACCAGCCCCATGTGTGCCAATACACAGGAGGTTTAGTACGTCCGTCATGTTGACTGAGAGTTCATTTCTCTAATGGCGTATTGATGCTCCTTCTTTTGTATAATGTGTTTATTACTGTCTGGACACTGGGGCTCTGTCTGTCTGCTCCATTTGAAGTCACTGACCTGGATGGACGGCTTTATGACCTGGAGGTAAATTCCCATTAGGGGAGGCTGCAAGGAGGACCATTTACTAGCAGTTACTATATATTTTTTACATTTTCTATTGATAGCAGGGATGTAGCAATGACTGAAATATTGTGATATTGTATTGTCAAAAATCTCACATAATACCGTGAGCCATAACAATCGAATTACAAGTTTGTAAGGGTGTAACGATATCCAAGTCTCATGATACGATATTGTCACGGTATGAACCTCATGGTACGATATTTATTGCGTTAGCGTGGGGAAGCTCACGCACTGAAATGGAGCAAAGGATTATGGTCTATGTAGTTCCCTCTGTCCTTTTTTTTTTTTTTTTTTTAAGCAATTGCAATACGATATCTCTTAATTTAAGAAAAGAGACTGGTAATTCGATATATTGTGATGGTCCACAATATTATTGTGAGAACTTTGACGATACAATATCATGATATTTCGGTTATTGTTACTGTACATCCCTACAAGTTTGGTTGCTTAAATTCATTGTTATGGTGTAGCAACAGCTAAAAAACAACTATACTATGAACCTTTGCTATGTTTCACTCCAATCTACATGGTGAAATAACTTATTAAGCACTTTTAAATCTTAATTATTTGGATTATGACAGAAAAGCAGCAATTTCATAATTCTGTTGTTTGTATAGTATCAAGTGATTTGGATATTGTTACATCCCCAACTGAGTAATGCCTTTTGTCAATTTGTTGTTAATATAGTATGCAGAGTTACTGTAACTGTCCTTGCTTGTGGCCTTGTACATGCTGTAGTAATTAAACAGACAAATGGGCTGTACGCGATCGGTATCTACCACACAACTCAGTTAGCAGACCTGAGTATCTCATTTAGGAGGCTGCAGCCCAAGGACACAGCCAAAATCGCATTATCTCAACAGCATGGGCAGGAAACAAGCGGACATCACACTGACACTGGACCCTCTGCTGTGAATGGAGTGGCCTTAACAACATGATCCAATGAGAGGTACAAAGAGATGCCTCCCACCGACATTAAGCCAGAATTTGATTTCAAAATTGGTCTCATATTAAAGAGAGTTACCAGTAATAAGCGCTGATAACATGCCAGGAACACTTGAAACACAACATGCAAATACTAGAATTAAAAGGGATTGGACAGTTGCTGAGAACATACCCAAATTATAAAGATATGCATTCAAAACCTGGAACTGCTAAACTAATATACTGTATGTATTTTAGTTTATAGCAGTCTAAACTTCTAGCCTGATTCATCAGCCGGTTTCACTTCGCAGAAACGGT